TTAATATGCGTCGCTCAATATCGTTGCATTTGCATCATTATGCATTTTTTAATTGTACCCATATGTGACAGGTGTTTTCAAAGTATTTAATCTAATAATTTTTCTGTGATAGCGTTTCTGCAAAGCCATATATTAAGTTTAACTTTTATCGACTATATATTGTGTATCTCTCATAACATAGTACGGAGAAGATGTTATGAAGGTGTAAATGGTGTTAAGTGTTCAATTTCGCTGTTAATGCACCGATTTTTCATTTAATATTAAACATTTTTATAAATGTTACATAGTTTCCGTTACGGGAAACGATAAACCTTAATTATATGTAGCATAATAAGCAACATATTGAAAATATCGTGCTCTACATTCTCAAATAATTATAACAAAATCTAAAGAAAGTTGTAGAAAAACATTAAAATTTGAATGCAAATTGTAACATGGTAACTTTATTTCGAATCTGTCTACCATTAGAATTATGTCGCACGTTATATACGCGATATATTAACGTGCTAACCAAAATCTCTATTTAGGAATAGTAAAGGATATGCCAATGAATCCAAAGAAGAAGATATAATACTGACAGGTTTCTTAACCATACCATTTGTTTTTGGAAAAGATATCATATTTTTCTCAAATGGTGGTCCATCAACTACAGTTGTAAATATAACAGCAACAACAGTTGCATAATTATATCTTCGTACATCTGTATCACGATTCATGATAATTGACATACAAATTTTTTGCTGTGCATTGCATACAATATCACAATGTTTCTCCATTCTACCGAAATGAACGATAAATAATATCGACAGCCGTATCGTAAAAATACAACATACATGTTAATAATTTGGCGTACGACCATATGCTGTGACCATGGGTCCTGCTCTGTAAATAGCTCTTAAGGGGTTACATGGGTTTCCTCGGGCAAAAAACGGCCTTTTTTCAATAATTATTTTTACATATAAAAAATGAAATATTTTAATGAAACTTTTTTTATTTAAAAGATACATATTTAATAAACATTTTGTGAAATTTTCAAAAAAAAATATCAAAATGGCGGTCATTACGACGCAATTTCCGGCAGTCCCTCGGAAAAAAGGTGCCTCCGCGTTGTCAGCAGCACTTCTTTCAGGATCATCAGAAGTAAAAAAGAAAAATTCCGTGTTTTAGTAAAGACAATAAACTAGGTATTGGACGAAGGAAAAAAAAAATTGAAAATTGGATTTTTGGCATACGTTTTTATAAAAAAATTTAAATTTCGATGAAAATTTCTCGACATTTTTTTTTAAATAGTTGTAATTAAAAAAAAAAACCTTCGTTCCAAACCTTGTAAATGATATCTCGAAGAGGTGTAAAATTTCATCAAGATCGGTTGAGTAGTTCGCGAGAAATCTTGACAACCGACTTTGAAAACATAGTTTTGAGAAAAACGCGTTTAAAGTTTTAAGAGACAATAAAAGTGCCTATACCTAACCTCGAGCGTCCACCTTTTCAAGGCTGTATCTCCGAAACTATTAGTGGGATCAACTTGAAAATTTATATAATATTGTCGAAATAATTTTTGGACTTTTTCTTTATATTTCTATCATTTGATGTGAGACCGTCATATAATGAATTAAAAAAATCATTTTGTGTTAATAGTTAAAGATGGACTTAACCCTTATGACAACACATAATAAGAGAATTTGTTTCACGCCTTGTAGACTCTGAAGCAAAAGGCTTGGCTAAACAATGCCTACAAACCAAATTCATAGAACCAATATGAAAGGAATCAATTTAGGAATTAGGCAATATTTTAACCAATGCACATTTGAACGAACTTCGCAAAGGAACTGAATTATTACCAACATTAATATATCATCAACTTCAATTAAATTAAACTTTTTAGTATTAATTATATTTCGTTTTCTGCTCAATTGCATATTTTCTCTATTTCTTTGTCTCTGTACTCTCCCTGTAAGCGATTTACGGTAAGGCATTTTAAAATAGATGTATGTGTGCGCATCGACGACACTACACTTACAAAAAAAAATTTAATTAATTTAATTAATGACTGATTAGCAATAAATATCGCTTACCGACGAACAAACAAATTATGTTCACAATTCTGTTTACAAATTGAAAGTAAAGAAAAAAATAAACTCAACAATAATAAGGGAAGTAATGGGATATCGTCAAAACACACAAATATATTAGCTCTCGAATTGAAGTGTTGTTGATATCGATTCTACCAAGTAATTAACCTTGGAAAAAAATGTTAAAAAATAACTATCAAACAAGCACTTGAAAATTACCTAAAAATTTCTAACTCACCAAAAGAATGTTGTCAATTTAATTTTCGTTGCAAATTCAACAATCCAACCGCATGCAAAGAAAATGGGAAAAAATTCAATCACTTGCTATTTTGCTGTTGTTTTTGATATTGTCGATTTAACCAACTGCATAAAATTAACCTTAGAATAAATTTAAAAAAAAATTAACTATTACACAATGCACTTGAAATTAATCAAAATTTGTTTTAACTCACCAAAATAAAACGAATGATATCAAAGGTTATTTCCGCTTCAGTCGCTAAATTACGTACATGCTTTTCCTTTACAACGGTATACATTTTATCCCTATATGTCAACGGCAACACAGAAAAAGAGGGAATATAAACTGTAGAAGTAGATTTGAAACACCCTGTTCACATTTAACATGCTCCGTTTCGTTGCTGCCATAATAATTGAAACAAAACTAGTACAAAAGAAATGAACTCTTTACAAAACAGTTCCATGAATTATATTTGTCATCCGTTTTACCTAAAGTTAATCCAACAGAACATATGTTATTTGCATTTTTCAAAAATTAATGCTTGTGTGTTTAGGAAATTTGCCACTAGCTCTTGACCCTGCACTGAAGGTCACCAGCCGCTGGACAGATACAAAGAATGCAATAAATTGGTTTACTTACTTAACAACAATTTTCGCTAACTTCTTTCGTATGAAAGGTTGTCTCTGCAAATTCTTAAAACAATAGCTCTTCGCGGGTGCGCCACATGTTGAATTGACAAAAGGTTAAATTTAAGCCGATGCCAAGGTTTGCTCTACGTAATGCGCTGTATTTAGAAATTAGAGTTGCACTTAACTGTTGGTGGGCGGGTACGCTTTAATTGTTTTGGATTTTTTATGAGAGAGTGCAAAATTAACTGTTTATTTCGTTGTACCATTGTATACATGGCTGCAGAAGTGCCTTGATTTCAATTTCCATTCTATATTTAATTCCTTTTTTATATTATACAAACATTCGAATAGCTGGAAGTCGTTTGTTAATAGTAACAAATTTCAGTGTAACAAGTGATTAGATAATATTTTTCATGTTACTTATATTCAAAACTTAAAGATATCATTTGCAGAAAGTAGCTGCATAGTGTTGATGAGAAGTGTAGACCACAGTTATACAAGTAATACAAAATTTAAGTAAACATTTTAATCTTTTTGGAACATTTTGAAGGAAAATCGCCTGGCTTGTTATTGATAAAGAGTTACACGAGTTTTGGAATGTAACAGGCAAAGAAGTCCGCTAGCGTTGTTTTAATCTTATATACATATGTAATTCTTCTCTTACAATTTCGTGAAGATATAACGTTAACTTCGGTTCCACCAAAGCTATAATGCCCTTCGCAAATTAAATAGTTCTCCATACAACTTGATTATAAGCTATAGTGTTCCGATTTGAATAATTTATAGGCAGATTGTAGCGTTGTTTTAGACAATAATCTATGGAAAATTTTGTGAAGCAATCTTATCAAATTAAAAAATTTTCCATACAAGGGCTTGACTTTGATTTCGACAAATGAGAAGCTTCTTGGAAAAGAAAAATACGCGTAAAAAATTTCAGAATGATATCTTAAAAACTGAGGGACTAGTTCGCGTAAATATAGACGAACATGTGGAAATCGACTGTGCTCGTCATGCTGATCATTTATATACATAAGTATGTATTTTATAGGGTTTATGACGTTTCCATCTGGGTGTTACAAACTTTGCCACAAAGTTAAATATACCCTCTTCAGGGTACAATTTCAATATAATTTTACATCTAGACTTTCCTTTAAAAACCGCATACATTCCTAATTATGTATGTGTCCAACAGACTGACAGCACTCAACAGTGTGTTTAATAATTTTTGCGAAATTGTTTTTATCATTTTCCTTTTTTGTATAAGTTAAAAATAACAAGAAAGAAATACAACTAAGTCAAACTAAAATAAAACAAGATGAATAAAGTTAATCAAAATATTCTGTGGTTTTTACAATGAAAATATTATACATAAGCGATAAAACCGATATCGTTTTGAGGTTGCTTTCAATGCTCACCAAAGCATAGGGCGGGCAATACAGCGTTGATGAAATTGTTATAGCGCAGTTGGGGGGGGGGGGGGGGGGGGGGGGGGGAGGGGGGGGGTGGGGGGGGGGGTGGGAGTTAGGTGCAGATATGGCACTGCGGTTGCCAGCGATCGCATCCGATCAGCGCCGTTTTATGACTCTTCTTGGCACATAGTGGCTTTATGGCGGCTGACTTTTGGCGACTGGTGGTGACGGCCATTTGGGTTTTTGTTTGTTTGCCTGTATCTGGTATTAGTGGTGGCGGTGCGGGGGCACTGCTGCAATGACGAGTAATTTTGCGCCATGAATCATTTGCGACATTTTAGACTTTACGCGTTGCAAATAGTAATGTGTATGTGCTTGACTTATGAGCCGTTTTGCAATTGTTTCTTGTTGTTGTTGTAGTTGTAGTTGTAGTCCACTGTTTGCCATTGTGCTGTGTGCGAGGTAGGCAGGTATACACGAAAGTGTGTTCGCACATACTCGTATGCGCTCAGCGTTTTAGCGGCAACGGTAGTAGTGTATATTTGTTGTTGTTATTTGCTTACTTTTCTGTAGTATGTAATTTAAATTTGTTTACCTTTTTGGTAGCGTGACAGTCTCTTCAACTAATAATGTTTCTTCACTTCCATTTCAGAAACCGAAGTGCACTGAACGAACAAACGCACGGGCGCTTCATATGACTCGCCTATTAGTTGACGTATATAACTACAAGTACATGCACATTTGCATATCGAAAATTGTTTTGAAAAAATACTAATTCTGAAAAAGTTTAATTAAACATAAAATCAAGAAAATAAAACGACACAGTAACGACAAACGAGGTGATTGTGAGCCAATTGAGAAAAAAATAACAAACAAGTTCCAACAATTGTACAGTGACTCTGGTAAATCTCTCTACGCATCTATTGTTGTTGTGATAGATAATAAAGCACAAATAAGTCAGTGAGTGTGACCAGAGCGCGTTTACAAGCTGTGCTTGTTTACATTGCAGTGTCGCTGGCTTTGTTTTCGCCACTTTTACATTTACCGTATAGTCGTATCAACGCTGTTTGTTGTTATTCTGCGTTTTTTTTTTTTTTGTAATCTTTTTTCTGCTTTTTTTCGTATTGCATTCCGTTTTGTTCAATGGTCGTTTTGAATGCCAACATAATCATTTGTGTGATAAGTCAACGCGTTGTTATCAATTTTGTTTTTTTTTTGTGATTTGTGTTTATTGAAAAAAGCCTCACCACGAATTACCTGACGTTCTCTTCGTCGCGGCGGTCAACTGTAGTCGCAACAAGTGGTGGTAAAACACCAGCCGCCAGCACCACCGCGCTCGCAACTTCAGCAGGAACTGCCTCTGCTTCATCGAGTGTCTCATCGTCCTCGTCAGCGCTTGGATTGCTGAGTTCGAGTTTCGTCGCCACATTCTCAAATCCTTTCAGCAGCAGTAATAGTAGTAGTAACAGTAATAACATTAGCAATAGCAACAACACTGCCGCCTACCCAAACATAGAAGACCCGGCAATAATAAGAGATACTGCAAACTCTGCTTTGCCACCAACATTGTACTACACAAAACCGCAACAACAACAACAACAAAACTATCAACATCAAACACAAAATCGTTCGTCAACTGCTACAACTACGAGTACTTATTTTCATCACACGCCAAACAGTAGTGGCAGCATACAACGTGCAACAATGGCTGCTAGTGGCACAGCTGCACCGAATAGCAGCAGCAGTACAGCTGCGCTTGGCCTATCGCCCACATATGAACCGCTTGGCGGTGGTCCACACGCTACCATCGTTAAGGAGGGTTGGTTACAGAAACGTGGCGAACACATAAAAACCTGGCGTTCACGTTATTTTATACTGCGCGATGACGGCACCTTGATGGGCTATAAAAGTCCGCCGGTAAATAATGCACCCGCTGATCCATTAAATAATTTCACAGTACGCGGCTGTCAAATTATGACAGTCGATCGACCCAAACCGTTCACTTTTATTATACGCGGCCTACAATGGACCAATGTTATCGAGCGTACATTTTGTGTGGAAAGAGAGATCGAACGGCAACAGTGGACCGATGCCATCAGGTGAGTACCGCAATTGACTGCATATGTTTCTATGCTCATATTGTCTAATATTTATTATCTTCTTATTACTATGTATAGAAATGTAGCGAGTCGCTTGAGTGAGCTGGGCGAGACGGCCATGTCACCATCGACCTCAACAGACATGTCTGATGTGGATATGGCATCTATTGCTGAAGTGGAACTGCGTAACAGTTTTTCAGTGCAGGGCACAACGAAACGCAGTAGTGGCGGCGTTAAAAAAGTCGTAAGTATTGCAAAAATATTGTATATACTTGTATATATATGCAGGTCTAAGACGGTATAAGTGATATGACGTAACGTTAGTCAAAAAGCTGTATGTTTTAGTAAATTATTTTGCAAAAATTAAATTAAAAAGATAATATAATATATAAAAATATTCTTTTAGCTTTTGTATTTGGGCTTTAATTATTTCAACATAACCTCAAATTTTGACAATGAATATTTTAAACTCAGCATATTAGGTTCATGAAATGACATTTCCAGTGCGCAATGATTGCGAGACGCGAAATAAATTGAAAGCAAAAGTCCGAAAAGGTTATTGAATGTGAAGTTAAAAAAATTGCGCAAGTAAACAGCTGAACTTTGACAGCTACAATACTACATATTTGTTAGTAAATATTTTAAGTTTGGTATGAAGTTTGTAACACCCAGTAGGAAACCATATAACGTATATACATATGTTTGTATATAATTGATCAGCGAAACGAGTTGAGTAGATTTAGCTATGTGCGTGGGGCGCTCTGTATAAACGTGAACTAGTCCCCCAGTTTTTGAGATAACGATCTGAAACTGCTCATTTGTCAGAAGCGCCGATATCGGACTACTATAGGATATAGGTATGTAGCTGCCGTACAAACTCATCGATAAAAATCAAGTTCTCGAAATTTGGCACGGATTATTGTTCAAGACAATTTACAAGTTGAATAGGGTATTATTGTTTTGCTGCAACCGATGTTAACGGTTTTTCTTGTTCTAGTTACGAAATCAATTCTGGTAAAAATTGCAATTGTAAGCATTTTATTTTTTACTATTCACATATATTCATAATCGGCACGAGTCGTAAAAATATTTCCGTCATTATTTTTTTTTAATATTTTCACGATATTAAGTCGAGTCAGCAGAAATGTTTTGCGTCATTATTTTCACGATAGGAGGTCGAGTCAGGAGAAATGTTTTACGGTTTTACTGTCACGTTTTTCACTACAAGTCAACTCGTTACAATACTGTTGATTTTTTGTCGTCGACATTAGCTGATTATTTTTATTACTTATATCGTATGATCTAAAATAAAGTAATGGAAATAGGTATTACTAAAATCAATTGAATATGCTCTACTTTGAACTATCTAAAAAATATAGTTGTGGTGGCTTGTCGTTATATATTTCCTAATTTTTATATTTACATATGTCTAAAAAAGTAAATTTTTTTCTCTTTTGCAGACGCTTGAAAATTTCGAGTTTATAAAAGTGTTAGGCAAAGGCACGTTTGGCAAAGTAATTCTGTGTCGTGAGAAGGCCACTGCAAAGCTGTATGCAATTAAAATTCTGAAAAAAGAAGTTATCATACAAAAAGATGAGATCGCGCACACCATCACCGAGAGCCGTGTGCTGCAGACTACGAATCATCCTTTCCTAATTGTAAGTTGGCACGAAACCTGAACCTGAGTTCTCACAAATACGAAAAATTTAATAAATGCAATTTCTTCTTGTTCTTCTTCTTCCATTTTTTGCAGTCACTTAAATATTCATTTCAAACAAACGATCGTCTGTGTTTTGTGATGCAATACGTAAATGGCGGTGAATTATTCTTTCACTTGAGCCGTGAACGTATTTTCAGCGAGGATCGTACGCGATTCTATGGTGCTGAAATAATTTCCGCCTTGGGTTATCTACACTCGCAAGGCATTATATATCGTGATTTAAAGCTGGAAAATTTATTGCTAGACAAAGATGGACACATTAAGATCGCTGACTTTGGGCTGTGTAAAGAGGATATCACGTATGGTCGTACAACGAAGACGTTTTGCGGTACACCCGAATATCTGGCGCCTGAAGTATTAGAGGACAACGATTACGGGCATGCAGTCGATTGGTGGGGCACCGGTGTCGTCATGTATGAGATGGTGCGTACTCATATTTGTTGGCGAAAAATATTTAAAATGTGCACATTGAGAATTTTAATTTTTTTTTTGTTTTAAATTTTCAAATTTTGTAACCTTTAATATTCCAATTTTTTTTTTTTTTTAATCTTAACTTTTATATTATTTGTCTTTCAACAGATATGTGGACGTCTTCCTTTCTTTAATCAAGATCATGATGTACTTTTCACACTTATCTTAATGGAAGAGGTAAGATTCCCCCGCACAATTTCTGATGAGGCGCGCAGTTTGCTTGCCGGCCTTTTGGCTAAGGATCCACGTCAACGTTTAGGCGGTGGACAAGATGATGTTAAAGAGATACAAGCACATCCCTTCTTTGCGAGTATTAATTGGACGGATTTAGTGAATAAGAGGGTATGTTGTTGTGGCGTTTTTTGTTTTTTTCTTTTGCACAGAAATGTATACAAATTATATGTTGTACAACTTCTTATAGATAACGCCGCCTTTTAAACCACAAGTAGTATCCGATACAGATACACGTTACTTCGATACAGAGTTTACGGGTGAAAGTGTGGAATTAACGCCGCCAGATCCTGCTGGTACATTGGGTTCCATAGCAGAAGAGCCACTTTTCGCACAGGTGAGTTGAAGGCAAAGCGAAATATTAGATATTTTCGGGAATGGCACATAAAAATTTGTTTGAAACCGTTTATTTATAGCGGTATGCACCGCGACCTATGGTCTATTGTGATCGAAACCGTTACTTTGCAATAAAGTAATTTGATATTTTTTCTCAAATTTTTCGTGTTTTAAGGCTACGAAAATCAATAAAACAATTCGTAATTAAACGTACAGGGCACGTTATGTATGCCATTAAGTTTGTAACACTCAGAAGAAATGGTCGATGACCCTATAAAGCATATATATAAATGATCGGAGTGACGAGCTGAGTCGATTTAACCATATATGTACGTATGTCTGTCCGTCTGTATATAAGCCAACTAGTTTCTCAGTTTTTTGAGAAATCGACCAGCAATTTTGCATACGACCTTTTCTCACAAATAATCGGAACTGTCGGAACTGATATCGGACTATTATAGCACATAGCTGCCGTACAAACTGACCGATCAAGATCAAGTCCATGTATGGAAAGGTTTTTATTTAACAAGATATCTGCACGAAATTAGGTATGAGTTATTGTTCAAGGCAACACTATAATCTCCGAATAAAATTTTCAGATAAGACCACTTTAGCATATACATAGCTGCTATACAAATCTACTGAGCATAATCAAGTTCTTTTATGGAAACTTTTTTATTATATTTGTGAAGGGTACTTTAGCTTCGGTGCAACCCAAGTTAACATTTTTTCTTGTTTATTTTTCAAATTGTTCGTGTTTTAAGGCTGCGAATGTCCCATAAACAATTCGTATATAAACCAATTTTATTTATTTTTTCATATTATATAATTTGTTAAATATATACATATATCTCATATATTCCACACCAACAGTTCAGCTACCAGGACATGGCATCCACATTAGGTAATTCATCGCACATCAGCAGCTCGGCTGGTCTTGCATCGATGCAATAGAATCGAATAAAATGCGTATGACGTTATAATCGCCAACGTCGTTACCAATATGTTGATCGTCCTTATGATCATTACTGCCATCATCGTCATCAGCATCATCGTCATCCATATTTTGAGAAGCAACAACAACAACTGCAAAATAACAAACAAACAAGCAAAGCAAGTGAAGCAACCACAATTGTTGTAGAATGTAAATTCTGTAACGTGGATGCTGCCGCAAGCCAAGTCACCGCCACAGCAACACCACATAGAGGAAAAATACAATATTGTTTTGGCCCTATCAACAAAGCTGTAGCGCTCGTTTTGTGCATTTGTGAGTTGCAGCATCTTTTCTACTACTAAGGCAACAACAAAAAATTGCATGATAACGGACTATAACACCGCAATGTGTATGCACTTGTCAAATGCGTCTGAGCGTCCACCGACCGGTGATTCATTGTTCGCATTTTCGTTGTATTGAAAGCGAGTGGTTTTATTTTTTACGTTTTTCACTGGTTCTGCGTAGTTGCGGCGGTGACTGCAGCAGCTTTTGAGATACTCACTGTGACAACAACAACAAAATAGTAAACAAACAAAAAATATATAGCTATGGCAGTAGTGGAGGTAATGGCGCGCACAGCCGCATAAGTGAAATGAACAGCAAAAGCAACATGATAAAGAATAGCTTATAATAATAATACAATTTAAAAGTAAAAGTAATAAATAAAAAGTTTAAACCGCTAAAATACATCTACATACATCATATATTATATACATATATAAATATAATTATAATAATGAACAGCAACAATTACTGCTACAACTACCAATATTAGTACATATTGCAACTACAACTACTACTATTAAATAAAAATTAAATTTAAAAAAAAAAATAGAAGTAACACAATTAAAAGCAAAAATACAAACCAATAAATAAACATAATTTATTTTTTACACTACAGTTACAATTGCAACTACAATAATAATAACTGAAAATAAAATTACAAGAAAGAAAAAAAAAACAAGAAACATCAAGCGATAATATAATAAGTGCATACATACTACAATTTATTATTATATACATACATATACAAGAAATAAAAAAATAAAAATAAATAAAAAAAAGGTAATAAATTTAAAATAAAATTGATAACTGCGAAAATGGTTAAAGTTAGTTATAAACAAATTATATATACATACGTACATACATACATACTACTATTATAAAAATATAAATGAAACATTTTAAATAAAATAACTAGTTAATTTAAAGACTTTTTCTGTGCCGCACTGCTATTATTTCATGTTTTCTAAAAATAATTATGCAACTAATGTACAAAACCCAAAACAGCAACAACCACAAAATTGAACTAAACATACATACATACCTACCATATATGCGCGCATACTTTTGTATACTCTTCAATTTTTTCTGTTTGTTTTGATTGTCGCAAAAATTTTCATTTTGTTTATAATTTTACATTTAAACCGTTATACCGTTGTACCGTTGTGCTGTGCGCTTTAAATGAATGATTTATAGACGATTTTTATGTTTCTTATACAACATTTTTCTATATTCAGTTACTATGTAACATTTATGTGAATGTTCACAAAAAAAAAAATAAGTAAAAACAAAAAAAAAAAAAACCAAACATAAACAAAAAGCAAACGCAGTTATGTATAAAGTTGTCAAGGCAGTAGAAAAAGAAACGAAAAGATAAAATAAAAATAAAAAACTAAAAATAAAAAAATAAAAATAAAGGATGCTACTACAAAAAATATGTAAGTTATTTCAAAATTTGTTATACATTTTGGTAATGTTTAAAGCAACACAAAAACACAAAAGCACTCGAAATGGCCGACACTAAAAACAATGCTGGAGTATCAATTTTTTGCAGCGTTGCAACGTGATATTTTAAAAGCTGAATACGTTCCAATGCCTGCCTTGGATGAGGAATGAGTTGTACATGCGCTTCGACTTTCTTTGCATTTGACGCTGAATTCAGTTTAGCGCTTCAATGAGTGGATATTACAGCGCTGCTTAGGTTGTGGACCTTTGCAAGCATACACATACAGTTAGTTCGATAGAATCATACAAAAATAAACACAAAAAAAAATTTTTGTTTTAGCAAACGTAATGTACAAACAGCGAAAATATATAATTTAACTAAGCCCATGCCACATGCATAGTTAAATATCAACTATAGTTAATAGAATTCCAATTGTGTAATTTGTTTCATTAAAGAAAAAAAAAACAATAATAAAATGTGAAAAAAACTACCATACAACACAAATGTTTAAACGTTTACAGTTGTAAATGTTATTTGTTTGTTTTTCTCATTATCATTTCACCATACAACCATATGCTATATTCATACATACATACAATATACCGACAGCTTTCGATATTTGTTTTAAAATTATTTTTTTTGTTTTTGTAATTCGAAAATATTTGTAACAGCGTTGTTGTGCTCTACAACAAACATTTAAAATATATATAATATATTATTTTTATATATCTAAATAATTTAATCTCAAAAACACGCCATTTAATTCGAAAATTTTAAATAGCTTATTCGTAGCATCGATTTAAAACTTCTTTTGATTATTTCTGATTTTTAACAGTCGAAAAAACTTTTGAAATGTAGCTACCTAATTCTACTTTTGACGTAGTCAATGTTGTGCTTTGTACATTTCGATAGAAGCTTTCTGAAACCACTTTTTTTTTTTTAATATACATTTAGATTCGCTTTTCTACTTTCCAAAATCAATACCGAAAAATGTCTAACCGCACATTTTGAAATTTTTTTTTACCATTTTTGAAATTCGTGGACGTTTTAAACTTTTTCAAATATTTGTTTATAATTCGAAAATACCCAACCCGCTACTTTTTAGATATACATGAATATTTTAATTAAAAATCACAAAACATTTCAACTTAATTTTCCTTAATTCCAAATTTTAAAAATATTTTGAATTTAGTTCGAAGCTTTAATTTGAACAAACTTTGTTGGACCAAACTCGTATTTTATATATTTTTTACATTCAAATTCGGTTCTGTAATATTTTACGTTTTTTTTCGAGCTCAAAATTCAAACTTATAAATATTTTTGAGACAATTTGCTTATATTCAAATTAAATTTCGAAGAATATCAAACAGGCACTTTCATAAATTTTCTAAAAAACTTAAATCATTTTAAAAATCCGAATATTTTGAAGAATCAAACAGAACATAGGCTTTTACTTTAAAAGACGTTTTGGAAAACTTTTTCAAATTCGTTCGATTGCAATTTTTCTAGTTCGAAGCTTTATTACTTTTATAGATATAATAAAGAACCAAAACATTTTGAGGATTTTTTTTTTTTTTAACTATTTTTACACTGAAATATTTGTTATTATAACAAACATGTAGTTAAACCAGATGGACAAATATTTTTTATTTTCAAAATGGTTTTCGAAACATACTTAACCACTAATTTTATAATTTTTATAGTCCTTACTTAATATTTCGAATATTTTTGAATTCATAAATAATTTTGTTTAGTTTTTCAACATGTTTGTTTCTAATTATGTTTAAAAACCTTTTTTAGGTTAGGTTGAAAACTGAAAAAAAAACTGTGATTTTTTGTTAAAAAGAAAACAAATTTTAAGTTACAGATCGAAAGCGCTAAGAACAAGAAGCAATTAGTGAATTGAGTATAACTAAATATTATTACTAATTAAAGAAGAAACTGTAAATGTTATGGCGTCAAAACTAACCTCAAAATATGTCCGAATCACATTTCTAAATAGGCATGAAACAAATTATTACAAAAATTATTTACGTGTGTTGGTCAATACTATAAATAATAAATAGAGTACCGTTACTTTGTGGAAAAAAAGAAAGAAACATATTTGCAAATCAAAGCAACTGAACAAGTGATTGCAGTTGAAAGCACTGTTCCACAAAACATACTTTTATAGTCTTCGTCGAATATGAAGCAGTTCTAACGATTTATTAAAAAAAAAAAAATTAGCTTGAAATCATGCGCAGAGAAACGAATTGTAATAAGAAAAAAATATTTATATGAAATTCAAGTCATAAATAAGAAGCAAATTTTTTGATATTTTTATACACGCAATGAATTAAAAAAGTGAAATAAATTGAATTATAGATGAACAAAAAAAATAAAAAATAATAAAAAATAAACAAAACACTAAAAAAAGCGATTTAAGAGAAAATAAAAATTTTGATGAACAGAAAAAGATTTGAAGCAGCGTTGAAATGGGCAGAAGAGCGGCTGGCAGAAGGTTTTTCAAGAAGGCGGCCATAAATTAATATTGAAATGCTTGATTGTGAAGCAAAAACCTTAAAAAAGTAATTATGCGTAAATCATAAATTATTTAATAATTGAAAATGTTTAATGCTGAGTAATAGTGTAGAAATTGCAGCATGAAAAAATTTAAAGAAAAGTACATTTTGGCTTAAAATGTAAGATAAAAAAAAACAATTTTGGCATTGCGCTTAGCGTAAATGAGGTGAAAAGCGAAAACACTGCAAATAAAACGCGCAAAATATTTATACAAATTAGTAAAGGCAAAAAAAATATTTAAAAAAAAAATTATGAAATGCTTTAAAAAAGACTTAAAATGCGTTAAATATACGGGAAAAGTATATATTTAAAAAGTCGAACACAGTAGTATACAAAATTTTTCGAAAATAACTAAACTAAAAATAAGGATGTATTGCTTTGGGCAAAAAAAAAGAAATATAAATATCTATATATTTTTGGAATAAGTGTGGTAAATTAATATAAAAATTAGAACACTTTTCGGAACTAGTATTAACTGAAATCAATGTAATGCTTTCAACTAAACTTTTTTTTGTTAATTTTTTTTTTTCAAAAATCGACTCAGCTGTAAACACATTTTTTGGAATTGAGGTAAACAATTTGGTAAAAATACTTTAGCTTATACAACTTTTTTTTTGTTTAATGGGAAAATAAATAAAACTGAGTATATTCCAAAAAAATCTAACTTTTGAAAAGGAAACAAACAATTGACATATAATAATGATTTTCGCAAATTATGTTTTTTCGGAATTAATAACAGAAATTAATATTATATTTTAACACCAAAACCTTTTTTGTTTTTGTTTTTAAGAAATTGTTACTAAATTGAAAATGTTTAATTTTCGATACTTGTTACATGCAAAATGTATGGAAAATTTTTCGGAAATAAATTTGTAAAACAAAAAAAAAAAAAATGTAATGTAAGAAGTTTTTAACCATTTATTTTTTTTTGCAGCAAAAGAATTACAAGTTGGAAATACAAAAGTGAGCAGTCGGTCCTCAAACACAATATTTTCGTAAAGGAAAATTAAAAAAAAAATTGGAAAATTATAGGAGGTTGTTATTTCAAGAAGTTACAGCCCGTTTACAGTTCAAAAAGTAAAAAAAAAGTTTTAGTTTTATTTTGAATTCTCTTCGGTATCAAGTTTCAAACATGCGACTGCTCACTTTTAGGTTAAAAAGAATATAAAGTCGTAAGCAGAATGCTGGATGCCACTTAACATATGTGTATATTTTTGTTGTTTAACACTATCCCTCCCTATACCACTTAACTCTTATACACTATATACAAATTTCGAACTTCTTATAATAAGTTGTAGAAGCGCTAGTACAGTAAGTTTTACTTGTTTTTAATTTTGAAAATATTTATTTTAAGTAATGTAAAAAAAAATGCATTAAGAAAACAAATTGTGTATAATTGCAAATTTTGGAATACAGAACAAATAAAAAGCGAAGTTCGAAAAATTTTACAAGTGAGATATATATATATATATATATATACATATATGTATCGTAATAACAACAATGCAATACATTTAGAACATGTATTGTAATATTTGATATTTCAATTGAAATTTAGGAGCGAGAGCAAGTAGCGTAAATAGAAGCATATGCCATAAGTGTGTGGGTAATTAATTATCTGCATACTTATTTATACATAATAACAATTATACATATATACATACATACATATGTATGTATATGTATATAGAATATATAAGCTAATTATGACAATTGAATATATATTATACAACAAAAACAACAATAACGTAAAACAACGGAAAGAAAAATGAAGCGTATCTATATATAGAGGTGAATCTTATCAAACAAGAAAAAACCAATAAATTAAAGAATCGCGTAAAGAGTAATAAAAACACAAATAAAAATTGTAATAAAAACAACAAAAATATTGTTTTTTTCTGTTGAATGTGCGAGTAGAAGCTGCTTGGTAGATTTTACCGTTGAATGATAAATTTCGAAAAATCAACTTGACAGGTTAGACGGTTGTATGGAGGTCTCGGAAAAAATTCCAGATAAATGAATTAACTTAATAGCAAAATTAATGTCCAATATTTTAAATTCGTTTTGTAACGCTGGTTGTGTTTTGGCAGCTTTTTAGTAAAGCGTCTAACCGTCATAACTTCAAAACTACTTCACCGTTCCTTTTGAAATTTTCAATGCTATTTCTATACATACATATGTATATAATTTACGTGCAGAGTTATTTTCATGCTTTTTAATAATTTTTATTTTACTTTAATAAATTATTCGATTTTTTTCGCAAAATATCGCGTTTTTTCCTCTCATAGTGTTATACAAAAATGTAAAATTGAAATTTCGAAACCTCGCGGCGTGTTCTAGAAAAAACTATTATCTAAAGAATGAATCTTGAATTTTAGATTTCGTATGAACAGTACTAAGTACCCGCTGCACTTTTTAGTTTCTAGACCCGTTCGAATAGTTGCTGCCATTGCCATATTTTTTAATATTTCTTTGTAGAAGTATAATGTATGGTACTATTGGTTTTAAAAAAGAGATTTTGACTGTATCGTCACAAAAATATGCCAATTTTTGCACAAATCAACACCACACACCCTTTAGTGGATTGTATTTCAAAATCACTTTTTATTCGTATTACAGTTTAAAGTTTTCGATTTTATTTCAATTTTATTGAATTAGTAAATATTACATCAATTTAGAATTTGCTTGTGCATTCTTACGCCAAGAGCATACCTTTGGCTACCTCTTTGGCTTTATCAGCGCCCGCCAATACCTCAGCCAGTTTCAAACCGAAATCAAAAGCTGTACCAGGACCACGGCTAGTAATTAAATTGCCATCCTGCACTACTTTCTGATCGTCAACATATCTATACAATATTATAGAATTTAGATAAATATTTTTTTATTTCATGGTTTACATTTTCGAACAGAGTACATACTTGTATGTGTCCACCAATTGGTTCTTAACCAACGGATATGAAGTCAAATTCTTGCCACTGAAGATGCCATGTGCCAAGAGCGCTGTCGGTGCCGCACAAATCGCGGCCACAATGCGTCCTGCCGCCTCTTGCTCTTTGAGTAGTGCACCAAGTTCTGCACTCTCACACATTGCCTGGGAGCCACCAAGACCACCGGGTAAAACAATAGCATCGTAAAGACCGCCCTTAGCTATATCAAGCGATGTGTCTGGCACAATGCAGACATCACGTGAGCATTTTACTGCATCGACACCAGCCAAGCCAGCAACGGTGACCTTAACCTTTAGGGAGATGTGGTTGCTAGTGTTTAAAAGTAATACAATATATTACTTTATCGCGGTTTCACTTACTCCGGCGCGACGCAAAACATCAGCGGCTATAACGAATTCCATCTCTTCGGAGCCGGGTGCTAGTATAACCAATGCTGTTTTAGACATGTTGCAAGTAGTGCTATAGTTGAGATTCCAATGAGTTTCACTTGATAAGACACTGAATTTAGTTTTTGTTGCTACACTTTTTCTACTTGCAAACTGTGTATAAACTTTGTCTAGTTCGCGATTATTAAATAATGACCTTCGGAAGGCGACAAACATTTGCTTTTATTTGACAGAAAATATTTAGACTAGTGTCAAATTGGCATAATCAACTGGTTTTGTGGTATTTTTGTTAGACATTGCCAGATAAAAATAATAAGCGAAAAGGTTTATGTCTTGGAAGAGGTAAAAATGTAGCTGTAGTTTAAAGTTGCCGCAACATTACGTATTGCTTAGCAACATAGCAGCTGAAACATGTTTACCAGCAATGCTATTCTAAGCAATTAGTGAAGGGGGTGTAGGTTAAAACAAGTAAAACAATGTCCATATTTATGATTTTTTTTATGAAACAGTCGAAACCTATAGGATATTATGGTATGATACTTGAAGAATATTCTGTAAAAACGGCATTGGCAACAAAACGTATGGAGTTTCTCGGAAATTATATTGTTAGGTAATTGCTTTGTTTAGGTAACGCATGGGGTTTTCGAAATTTTGATTTTAATTTTTTTGGGAACATTCTGAAGGGAAAAGTGCACCGTTACCTCGTAAATTATGTATGCAAATACTGTTCAAAGTTTCAAATGGAGTTTTGAAGTTATGAAGGACAGTGACTTTGAAATCGTGAGTTGTGGGAAGAACGCTTTCATGTTTTGAACTCTAATTAAAAAAATCTAATGTAAAACGTTCCCAAGGACAAGTAGTCAAAATACTCGTAACTTCGTCAATTTTGCTAGAATCGACTGAAGTTTCGACACAACATTTTTAAACATTCGTTTAAGATAAAAAAATTTAAAACCCTACCTCCCTTAAATTTGTTATTATTTACATATGTATGTATGTTTACTCTGCCGAAAGATTCGATAAAATCTCAAATTAGTTGATTTCTTTTTAACTCAGCAGTCAAATTGATTTTTGTGACATTTTTATGCGTGTAAATATTGACATAATGGCATTTAAGTCTCATTAATTTATTTTCCAGCACATTTTTCTTCTTATCAGCTTTAAAGACTTTCACGTCTCCAATAGTTCTGTGTGTCTGTACATCGTCTTGGGTTACTGCGCCAAACGCCTTTGACACTTTGATTGATACAATGATTGATTGATCGTTAGATGCAGCGTTTGATTTAAGTTAGCACTAGACTATTATTCTCCAACAATTTGTAGACTTTTTACTTGAAATTGATAGTGATATTACACAAATGAAAACTTTGATTTTTCAATGAAATATTGACATAAACGTTCGATAGAATAAATAACAATGAAGTGGATCTTACCCTGAATCCCATAAATTATCTTTGTTCAACGCTTAAACTCTGTTCTATCGTCCAATATCGGTTAAAATAACTTTCAGAAACGTTAAGAAACATCACAAAGGTTTCTCGAAGGTACATTTTTCCTACATTGTTACCGAAACCGAAGAATCAATCATAGCGCGCCTCTCTTCTTTGAAACTAGATCCACATTCAAAATTATAGACACTGATTCATTCTTGTAATAATTATGACATTCAATCTTAATGACCGGAATTTAGTCCCTATATCAGAGGACTTTACATATCAGGTTCATGAGTGTAAAAGACGACCGCAGACAAAAAAGTTTAGGCGGAATGTAAAGTTTAATTTTTGTTCGAGATAAAAACTTCAGGTCTAACAAAACTCAATTGAAATGGGTTGAATTAGCCCAAAAGGGATCTACGGCTACCTCTCTCATGCCAGCAAGACGAATTTCAAATACAAACTCGGCGGTAAGAGATATTAAGTTAATATAACTTAAAATGTTACTATTTCTAATTATCATTAGGGGTAGCTATGACTAGGTAGCTGGAAACCATTAGGATAGGCAGTCTTGTTTTTTGATTACTGTAATGACAGCTTTTTATATGTCCTTTCTCTGTTGGTGGTTTACTTTTCACATGTGGATCTATTGTGAACTCAGCGATCACCATCGCCAATATTTAAACAGTCGTAAAGTGTTCTAAGGTCATTCTTGCCCTCAGTTAAACAAACTTTTCTCCAATGATTGGGATTGCGATAAGTGTAGGTCGAAATGATAAGGCTGAAAATTTTGTCTGATTTCCAGATGCTGTTAAAGTTGTTTGGAAGATGGTAAAGTGGAATGCTTCCCTTTTCTTACTATTATTTATTACCGGTAATTTTCATATGAAATTATTCGTTCAGCAATTCTATGACGGATTCTACGATTCATCAATATGTGCGGTTTCTTTTCTTACAAAAATCATAGCAACACATGCCTAAATATGCCTAAGTGTGGTTTTCTGCTTAGGGATAAACCAAAATAACCTAACCTAACCTATTTCTAAACCTTATGATTGAAAAGCAATAACCGAAAAAGTGAGGTTATATTATTGTACAGCGAGTTCTTCCAACGCGTCCGTTAGCCGTTCGCTGCATGAGCCACGTGATTGCTTTGATTGATTGATCGCATACTGTTATGCCATTGACACATCGTGTGCGCTGCAATGCGTGCGGTGACAACTGTTGCAAGTAATAGTTGTGGTAGATTGGGTTACTTGGTCATTAGCTGATTTAAACGAATGTCAACCGGCCGATGCGCATAGGTGTGGCTAAAATGTCAGTTGAATGTAGCTTTGAAAAGCACAATAAATGGAAATGCAATCCGCAGTGGAAAGCAATAATCAAAGCGAAACTAATAATCAAGTAAAATGCTGTGCGAACGCGTTGAACAACCGGGAAAACAATGCTGAATAAGTGAACGCCGATTCTTTGGGAATAAAGCAATTAATTAGGCAAGAAAAAGTAAACAATTCGCCTTCTTCCTAATATGTAGGATCTGGGCACTTTACATGCGTCTTGGCAGCAATTGTGGAAAATTGTATACAATTGCGGCATTAAGCGCTAATTAAGGTACAAAATGCTCGAGGGAAGAAGCGTCAAAACGTGCACAGGCAATAATAAAAGCAATAAAAATAATAAAAGAGAAAAACACTCGGATTGCGTTGAGTACATGCGCTGCTCTGCAATCCTGCCGCATACATAACCTCTATACTGCACAGAAAATAAATAACAAAAAAAGATAAATCAAAAATATGGGAAGCCGAAACCTGTGTACCGACTGCAAGTTGCATATACTAAATTTCGGCCACTAATTGGCCATAATATTATGTTGTCAGTGCTTGGGTCGAGATAACTTGACATGACAGCAATAGGTGGTGCATAAGCGGCAGTAGGCTGGAATGCGTGGTTAACCCTATCGGGCGACTAAATTGGCGTGGCCCGAAAAGCAATAAAATGTGTTGAAAAAATAACAAGAATAACAGCCACAATGAGAACACAACAACAAGAAGAACGCAAACTTAAACTGCAGAAATAATCAGCAGAAGAATCAAAGAAATCAACATAGCACGCAGCAAGAATTTTTTCATTGGAACTTAATCAACAGCCGCATCAGTAGTCAGTGCGGCGAAAGTCCGAAATGCCGAAATGTCGAAACAGTACAAAAATGGGCCGAAAAGAGCGAGCCACGGCAGAGAGCAGTGTAAAAGTGTCCAAGGCAATTGCCAAAAATGCATGTAAACCTGCCATAAAAGCAGTGAAAAACAGGAAAGAAAAAAGTGAAGTGCAAAAGTAAGCAACGTTAAAATTCGCGCGGAGTCGAACATTACATTCTTTTGATAATTCTATGTACGTAATAAGTGTGAAACATTTTAAGATGTCCGCAGTAATTTACATCGAAAATTTGTTCTTGGAAGTCAGAATTCGTTATTGGAAGAAATTTTGAATCGATTGCGCACTTTTTGATATAAAACTAACTTATCATATGGGTGAACGGTGCACGGGAAACGGGCAACATGAGAAACGGGAAACAAAAATACACGATCGGATGGTGACAGACCGATTGAAGGCGCGAAATTGCTGGAACAATAGGATGTTTGAAGCAACATAATTAAATTTCAAAGAGTTTCTGCTTCGTCTGGGGTTGGTTGGCGAAACATGGATCCACTAGTATACATCAAAGAAAATAATCACCGTTCTTCACAATGTGTGAGTTGAATCCAATACATGGCGAAGGGCAAATCGGTTACAGAGCTCTCATATGTCGAACTATTGGACGTATTTTAAAAAAGTAAAAAGTGTTCTCCCACCGTGACAACACATTCGCTTACACCAACGTCATGACCACTTCCAAATTGATTGAATTAGGTTACGAAATTCGGCCCGTTCTACCGTATTTTCTAGATTTGGACCCGTCCGACTTCTATTTGTTTCCAAACTTGAAACTTGCCGGTAATTTCGCGTCGAATGTGAAAGTTATCGCGGTCATGGAGGGCTATTTCGCAGGCCTTAAAACATATGTGAACTATGACAAACTATTGACCGATATTAAATTTTTTTGTTTAGTTGTTAAAAATGTGCCTTCCGAATAATAGCGGCTAGGACTATAGAATGGGGTCTCATTATTCTGGCAATTTTGACATGCAAAACTCTATACCACTTCAAACAAGCGCTATGTGAACAACGCAATTACACTTTGTGCAACATGCTGCGTGTGTATAAAAAAACAGCTAACAACAACAAACCCTAAGTTTGCATGCGAAAACAATCAAAGACGTCCATTAAAGATGCGGGATAATGTGTGTGTACATTGATTGCCGTTTGCAGTGGCGAGTTCTTGTTGCTGCTGCGGCAAGTTGTTCATTTCAAAAATGATGACTGTGATTATGCAACTAACAAATGTACCGTGTCTTCACAAACATATGCATTGCACGATAAGCGTGCAACATTCGCGTACGCATGTGGGCTGGTACAAAAAATCTTGTTTTCCTTGGCTTCCAGTGCCTTGGGTTACTTTCGGTCGGTGGGCCCTTGGGGAATTTTTGGCGAATTAACAGTATTGTTATCGAACAGTCAAAAACAGAAAACAATGTTTAATGAGTTGAAAGCTGTGCACGCAGTTTTCGTACTCTTTATATGCCTGATTTACATAGATTAAATTACAATGAGAGGTGTGGCAGTGGTGAAGTACATCTACTCATGCCTGAGATTTGTTAAAAAAGGTCTAAAAAAATCGCTTATCCAAAATTTATTTTACTTTTGAGGTAGCTTGAGTCAGTATATAATGTTATTCTCGATCTTCGAAACGTTTCGGATATTTATCGGTTCAATAATTTTAAGTCTATTCAAAGTGCTCTGTTTATTTTCAGTCTACAGAACTTGATAGCTTCAATACTGGAATATAAAGGCTCTACCAACAACAACGACATGATGTTAAAATGAAATAAAACCCTAAAATTTGGTCAAAATGAGTTCTGTTTTTTTGTTATGCAGACAATTTTAT